CTCCTTCTCCTCCTCCTCCTCCTCCTCCTCCTCCTCCTCCTCCTCTTTCTCCTCCTCCAGAAGAGCCTGAGATTCCCGTTAGCCCCTCGACTTATAACTTCACTACAGTCGTATCCACAACGACCACTACCTCGCTAGCACGAACAAGCATAAAGAGTACAATGAAAAGCGAATTTTCGGTGCCAGGCAGTGATTCGTCAACCACTCCCCTCACCACCGAGAGCCTGCTTGCTGATGTCGGTCTGACGGACGAGCGGACGCGTATGCGCCGCTTAATCGTGGGTATCATCTGCCTGCTACTGCTCAACCTCCTGCTGTTCTTCCTCTTTGTGACCATTGGTTGCTATCTGAGACGTCGATTTAGACGACGACGAAAGTCTTCCATGGCGTGCCAAATCATCTCAGCAAGCAATGCCAGTGACCTTGTGCGAGACCAAGTTAATCCAGGTAAGCTTTATACTTTTAAAAGGGCTACTGAATAATATGTAATAGGTATGCTAAACGCATATACATTAGTATGCGCAAAGATTCGAGATCCAGATATAATATTGCCTTCAACATCCCGGAACAGGGACTGTGTCAACCGGCGGCTCATTTATCTCATGTTGACATTCTGCTGTCTCGAAAGTTGTGGTAGCGGTATGCACCGTTAGCGTACCATCTATAAGCCTTCAGTTTGCCTCAGAGCCCTCTATTAATTGGCAGCATTTGGTGTTGTATGAGCGTTTTGTAGGAAATTTTTCTTTAGAAAATTTTTGGATTTTGCCTTATTTTCTAATTATCAAACATTTTGCGATCGTTGATCGTCGTAAACAAATGCAGGTTGGTGTATTTCTTTCAAGTATTTAACTACGCCTTGTTTCCATTTTGGTAAACAAAAGCTTCTCAAATCTATTTCAAGAAAGACGTGTATTCTATAGAGCAGAGTACATGACCTTCGTAACTGAAGGCGAGACCTAAATATTTTATTAGTTTAACAGAATTTTCATTTAACAGGCACGTTGCTATTCTTAACGAAACCCTCGCGCTCATCCCCTAAGTGGACCAGCTTCCTTAGGGACGTTCCACGACAGTTAACATTATTGTGTGACCGAGCAGACCGTTAATTCCACTCCGACAGTTCACTTTATTGAGGTAAATAGAAATGAGCCTCCAAACAGTAGACCCATCAATTCTGCATAATCCGGTTCGGATCTAGGTTTTGTTTTACATTATTTAACCTCTTATTAACACTGAGGCAAACTTTTGAATATTTAGGGCAGTCGAATGTCAAGGAGGCGGCAAACGGGACAGCAGTTGGCTCCAAGAACGCACATACCGCATCCAACGGATTCCACAACTACCAACCCGAATTCATTTTCCCCCCAGTTAGCCTGCCTATACGCTCGAAAGAGGAGCAGCAGCTACTGAAAAACGGTAATCCAACCATTCCCGATGGAGAGGTCTGTCTTCCCTCCCGACCACCAGCACCACGGCATTCAACTCTCCTCCAACGTTTAAGCCTGCATGTACCCTGGCGCCGACGTGGCAGTACTAGTCGCTACAAACATACTCTCGTGCTAGAGCACCCCAATGACTCGCTGAATGTGGACTGGGGCATCAAGAATTTGCATCCACTCTAGGTAACAAATCCCCCACCTCAACGCAACACAATCCCATAGTGGGCACCTTTGCCCCGCCCCTTGTGTACAGAAGCTGACAATGTTTTTTTTCTGGCCTGCCTAACTAGCTCTTATATTCTGCGTGTACCAACAATCTTACTCCGACCTTGTACTACTTGCTTCCTTAGGCACAAACAATATTCCTCAATTTTTAGCATTTGGTTTTTCTTCTTATTATTTTTTCACAGTGCTAAATTAGAGCTAGTGACTGGGTATTCCACCAGGTAAAACACGGCCATCCGCAGACGAGCGCACGAGGCAGGTTCAGTTGCAGGAAACACAGTTGTCTTGCGGGTTGTTCCGGCCCCGAAAACGTGGCGTCTCAAACATTGAATACCAGACTAAGCGCCTAAAGATCAGACCTAGTGTCGGTAGTGCAAAGCCAAAAAAAGATTTTTACTTAAAACATTTCACTGACTTAACATTCGAAATTGAGTCAAGCAAGTAGAAGCGAGCAATGGCACTGTATTTAGGTGTTATGGTAGCATTCCTTGGCAGATGCACATGTAAATCGATAAATTATTAAGTGTTTTTACTGCCAGTTTATTAACTATCTCAAAAATGTTATATAGTATGATGGAGTTAGCAGCGAGCAACATTCAGAAAAAGGGGTATCGTCACTACTGTTTATCAGTAGGTAGGTTTATTCAGGGAAAAACGACATCGTGTGGAATAATGGCAGACGGAAATGCGACAGTTCGCCGTCGTTTTCGACGAAGTCCATTGTTTAGTAGTGCAGACGTAGTGATTTTTGCTAGAGTACGGTCAAATTGCACACTTTATAGTCTATTCTACTACCTTATATAAGCCCGGTGTCAAGGGGACCGGAGTTGCTGGAAGGCAAACAATATGGACCACCACAAATAAGAAAACAACCGCAAAGTTAGCCCCGGGTCAGATTCCAGCAGAGGGGGAGTGTCATAAAGGCCATATTAAGATAGAATCGTTGCAGCTTAACTCTCAGTCCGCGCGTCAGCCATTTCCTTCGAACACATATGGGCTAACCACGCATTCTATCAGCTGGACACTTTCTATACCACGTATTGAGCGCACCATGAAAGCTTCAAGCGCCTCATATTGTTAAGAGCGAGGAAATTGTGCTGATTCTGCGACGTCACTCTCTTCCACACTCCCATCATTAGACCCTCGTCCGAGCCGGTCAGTTGTCTGATGCGTGTAGCCCGCAGTGATTATCATAGCCGGTGAACCCGTGAACGACCTAGTCTCTTTGACGCATGCACTAGGATTATCCAAAATCGGGGTGTAAGAAGGAGCCGTGGCCGTTTGATTTCAAGTCCACTAGTTAGCCACTCAGCACATAACGTGCATTGAGCAGATGACGTGATCTAATATAAAGCGTCGTTTGGCAGCCTTCCAAGCGACGGCTTTTTTGTAAACCGTGAGTCCCAGCCTAGGATTGCGCATGTAGCGGAGGGGCCACGTGACGAAATTAGCGACAAATGCATTCCTCTCTCAAGTCAGTCGTACTGGATGCAAACAAGTGGGAATGACCATGTATGTTGTATAGGTTGATGAAGAAATATGTACTACTGTTGCAAAGCCAGTGGTGTTCTACCGCAGGTTTTCATGGAGACGCATGTTGACTCATACACCCATGCAATGCATGAATATGCCTTGACAGTGGCTACAGTTAAGACGTCTGCGCCAATTTTAATTCAGGCCCCTAGGCCCTGCCTCACCAGTTTCTGTGCGACATATTCGCGAGTGACCGACCAAGCCTGTGCGGAATGTGCATGTGCGGTGGTAGTGAGAGCAGGACAGGGCGGGGGTAAGTGAGGCCACGGCTGGGTTAACCA